CAGTCTGGAAAGAGGCAGTTATGACCTATAAACAGAGCGAGAGAGAGAGAGAGAGAAGGCACGTTAGTGACGAATGCACCGATAGATATTGGGTTGCAGGGGGTCAGCTCGAGCGATTAGTGTAGTCTTGTATGATGATAAATAGGTTTATGTGAATTAGTAGATGGGTAGAGCAATAGGGTTGCAGACAAAGAGGAAGGTTGTATGGGAGCGAAGGGAAACGAGAATGCGTTGCAAGAGTCGAGTTGACCAGTCATTGAGAGTTGACTTTTAGGGCCGATGCAATCCTCTTCCGAGTTTAAGGCTTGAGCTCAACGGATGGGCATACATGAGGGCGCGTGTGCGGTGGGATTATGAAAATGTGAGGGCTCGGAGTTGAGTGGGGCTGTACCGGACTGAGTTGAGCTGGGCTGAACTATGCCGGGCCAGGCCAGGCCACGTGGGAGAATGACGCGGCCAGTCCCGGCCTCGGTTCTGACGCAAAGCAGTCAAGCGTGAGGCCAAGTCGTCTTTCAGACATGGACACTGGCGAGGGTAGGCATGGCAGCCTGTCTCCAGACGAACTCATTATGTCGGCGACTTCGGCTGCCTCAACTTTGTGGACGAGTTATCCTGCAAACGTGGAGTTTGGTCGCTTCTTGAGCTCGTCTGTATGCATGATTTGCACTACGCCTGCCCACCCGCTAATCTGTCTGGTAGTTTGGAACATTAAGTAAACTTTAAACACCCCACGCTTTCACGCATCTGTACCCCATCGTGTAGCCTCGGAGTCGCGAGGTTGCGCGTTTTCCATACAGTGAGGCTGAATTTTGGATACGTCACTTGTGACGAATGCTGTGACGCGGGTGTGACAGTCAGCCTGGCACGAAAGCTTAGCACAGGCCCACAGAATCGTTCACACCACAGCATCAACGAGGATGGAATAGCGTTGCCATGAGCCTGACGCTTCACACGGAAACCGAGCCGTGAGACAGAGCAGATGCGACAGTGACCGAGAAGAGGCTGTCTCTGACAAGTTGGACTGCCAGACGAGATATTCCTTTCCGAAGCTATCATAAGTGTTTTTAGTGAGTGAGAGTTTGCGCACATGCAGGCGGGCAGGTGTGTGCGAATCGAGCTTTGTGGGGATCCGTCTCGCCTTCATCCACTCGGATGGCCGTAACCGCATCACTACACTCCATAGGGTGCATACCAGGTCGCATAGTCCGATAGGTCGACTACTACCCGAGAGAAGAGGAGTCACCTTTTCCCTCCTCCTTTGGGTTGTCTCGAGTGAAGTCAGCTTTCATGCTTAAACCAAAATTGCCTGGTACTCTGCTGCTCAAGGCCTTAATGGTACCGAAAGTGAGTTGATGGATGCTTGTCATGCTGTACAAGCAATACAGCCTATGCGGTGCTATATTGCGACAACACTTGCTAAGTTCGAGTCCCATTTTTGGCAGCCCAGCAGCCCTGACGGCTCAAGAGCTGGCAGGGCGCTTCGGGTAAACTAAGGAGAGGGAATAGAAGTTGTTTGAAGTGAGAAAGGAGAGGGAAGATATTTGGATAAATTGAACATATATACGATGAGTAGTTGGGTTTAGAAGAATTTCTTGAGAGTACAGTATTATGGAGACTTTCACTTTGCATCAAAGAATAGATGTATTTGGCTCGAATGTTGTCCGACATATGAAGGACATCCTCACAGTTTGAACTCACTGTTGCAAAAGCCTCAAGTTAACCCTAAGTCTAGAGAAGACCAAACAATTTAATATCAATCTACGCATATATTTTTTTGTCTTTAGTTATGAGTATATACATCGAATATAGAAAAGAGC